AGGTGATGTGAGGATGAGGTGATGAAGGTGATGAAGCTGATGTGAGGCTGATGTGATGAAGGTGATGAAGCTGATGTGAGGCTGAGGTGATGAAGGTGATGAAAGGCTGAGGTGATGAAGTGATGTGAGGATGAGGTGATGAAGAGTGATGAGAGGTGAGGTGATGAAGGTGATGTGAGGATGGTGATGAAGGTGATGAGAGGCTGAGGTGATGAAGGTGATGAGTGAGTGAGGCTGAGTGATGAAGTGATGAAGGTGATGAAGCTGATGTGAGGCTGAGGTGTATGAAGGTGATGTGAGGCTGAGGTGATGAAGGTGATGTGAGGATGAGGTGATGAAGGTGATGAGAGGCTGAGGTGATGAAGGTGATGTGAGGATGAGGTGATGAAGGTGATGAGAGGCTGAGGTGATGAAGGTGATGAGAGGCTGAGGTGATGAAGGTGATGAAGGTGATGTGAGGCTGAGGTGATGAAGGTGATGAAGCTGATGTGAGGATGAGGTGATGAAGGTGATGAAGCTGATGAAGGTGATGTGAGGATGAGGTGATGAAGCTGATGTGAGGCTGAGGTGATGAAGCTGATGTGAGGCTGAGGTGATGAAGGTGATGAAGGTGATGTGAGGACGAGGTGATGAAGGTGATGTGAGGATGTGAGGATGAGGTGATGAAGGTGATGAGAGGCTGAGGTGATGAAGGTGATGTGAGGATGAGGTGATGAAGGTGATAAGAGGCTGAGGTGATGAAGGTGAAGGTGATGTGAGGCTGAGGTGATGAAGGTGATGAGAGGCTGAGGTGATGAAGGTTATGAGAGTGATGTGAGGCTGAGGTGATGAAGCTGATGAAGCTGATGAAGGTGATGTGAGGCTGAGGTGATGAAAGTGATGAAGGTGATGAAGCTGATATGAGGCTGAGGTGATGAAGGTGATGTGAGGCTGAGGTGATGAAGGTGATGTGAGGATGAGGTGATGAAGGTGATGAGAGGCTGAGGTGATGAAGGTGATGTGAGGATGAGGTGATGAAGGTGATGAGAGGCTGAGGTGATGAAGGTGATGTGAGGATGAGGTGATGAAGGTGATGAAGCTGATGTGAGGCTGATGTGATGAAGGTGATGAAGCTGATGTGAGGCTGAGGTGATGAAGGTGATGAAAGGCTGAGGTGATGAAGGTGATGTGAGGATGAGGTGATGAAGGTGATGAGAGGCTGAGGTGATGAAGGTGATGTGAGGATCAGGTGATGAAGTTGATGAGAGGCTGAGGTGATGAAGGTGATGAAGCTGATGTGAGGCTGAGGTGATGAAGCTGATGAAGGTGATGTGAGGATGAGGTGATGAAGGTGATGTGAGGCTGAGGTGATGAAGGTGATGTGAGGATGAGGTGATGAAGGTGATGAGAGGCTGAGGTGATGAAGGTGATGAGAGGCTGAGGTGATGAAGGTGATGAAGGTGATGTGAGGCTGAGGTGATGAAGGTGATGAAGCTGATGTGAGGATGAGGTGATGAAGGTGATGAAGCTGATGAAGGTGATGTGAGGATGAGGTGATGAAGCTGATGTGAGGCTGAGGTGATGAAGCTGATGTGAGGCTGAGGTGATGAAGGTGATGAAGGTGATGTGAGGACGAGGTGATGAAGGTGATGTGAGGATGTGAGGATGAGGTGATGAAGGTGATGAGAGGCTGAGGTGATGAAGGTGATGTGAGGATGAGGTGATGAAGGTGATAAGAGGCTGAGGTGATGAAGGTGATGTGAGGCTGAGGTGATGAAGGTGATGAGAGGCTGAGGTGATGAAGGTTATGAAGGTGATGTGAGGCTGAGGTGATGAAGCTGATGAAGCTGATGAAGGTGATGTGAGGCTGAGGTGATGAAAGTGATGAAGGTGATGAAGCTGATATGAGGCTGAGGTGATGAAGGTGATGTGAGGCTGAGGTGATGAAGGTGATGTGAGGCTGAGGTGATGAAGGTGATGAGAGGCTGAGGTGATGAAGGTGATGTGAGGATGAGGTGATGAAGGTGATGAAGCTGATGTGAGGCTGAGGTGATGAAGGTGATGAAGCTGATGTGAGGCTGAGGTGATGTGAGGAGGTGATGAGGTGATGAAGGTGATGAGAGGCTGAGGTGATGAAGGTGATGAAGTGAGAGAGATGAGGTGATGAAGGTGATGAGAGGCTGAGGTGATGAAGGTGATGAAGAGGCTGAGGTGATGAAGGTGATGTGAGGCTGAGGTGATGAAGGTGATGAGGAGGTGATGAAGGTGATGAAGGTGATGTGAGGCTGAGGTGATGAAGGTGATGAAGCTGATGTGAGGATGAGGTGATGAAGGTGATGAAGGTGATGTGAGGATGAGGTGATGAAGGTGATGAGAGGCTGAGGTGATGAAGGTGATGTGAGGATGAGGTGATGAAGCTGATGAAAGTTATGTGAGGATGAGGTGATGAAGGTGATGAAGCTGATGTGAGGCTGAGGTGATGCAGGTGATGAAGCTGATGTGAGGCTGAGGTGATGAAGGTGATGTGAGGATGAGGTGATGAGAGGCTGAGGTGATGAAGGTGATGAAGGTGATGAGAGGCTGAGGTGATGAAGGTTATGAAGGTGATGTGAGGCTGAGGTGATGAAGGTGATGAAGGTGATGTGAGGATGAGGTGATGAAGGTGATGAAGCTGATGTGAGGCTGAGGTGATGAAGGTGATGTGAGGATGAGGTGATGAAGGTGATGTGAGGATGAGGTGATGAGAGGCTGAGGTGATGAAGGTGATGAAGGTAATGTGAGGATGAGGTGATGAAGGTGAGGAGAGGCTGAGGTGATGAAGGTGATGAAGGTGATGAGAGGCTGAGGTGATGAAGGTGATGAAGCTGATGTGAGGCTGAGGTGATGAAGGTGATGAAGGTGATGTGAGGATGAGGTGATGAAGGTGATGTAAGGCTGAGGTGATGAAGGTGATGAGAGGCTGAGGTGATGAATGTGATGAAAGGCTGAGGTGATCAAGGTGATGAAGGTGATGAGAGGCTGAGGTGATGAAGGTGATGAGAGGCTGAGGTGATGAAGGTGATGTGAGGCTGAGGGGATGAAGGTGATGAAGGTGATGAGAGGCTGAGGGGATGAAGGTGATGAAGGTGATGAGGTGATGAGAGGCTGAGGTGATGAAGGTGATGAAGGTGATGTGAGGCTGATGGGATGAAGGTGATGAAGGTGATGAGAGGCTGAGGGGATGAAGGTGATGAAGGTGATGTGAGGCTGAGGTGATGAAGGTGATGAGAGGCTGAGGTGATGAAGGTGATCAAGGTGATGAGAGGCTGAGGTGATGAAGGTGATGAAGGTGATGTGAGGCTTAGGTGATGAAGGTGATGTGAGGCTGAGGTGATGAAGGTGATGAAGGTGATGAGAGGCTGAGGTGATGAAGGTGATGAAGCTGATGTGAGCCTGACCCACCTGGGAGTGCTTCAGTCCTGCACTGGACCTGTCCACGTTCAGCGTCCACTGGTCCACGTTCTGTAGCTAGCTTAGGTCCTGGATCATTAGTCTGTCCGTCCGGAGGAGCGGATCCCTTTCTCATATGGGTCTCCCTCCCTGTGGGTTTCCCTAGTTCTCCTCCAAGGTTTCTCACTTTTTCCCACTGGGTTTTTTAAGAGTTTTTCCTTGTCGATGCAGGAGGGTCTTGTTGGACAGTTAGTGTCCAACAGAAAGGATTGGTGATGATCAGGACACTTTAGCATTCAGAATCAGAATCAGAATCATTTTTATTGCCACGTAAGTAACAGGAAGTCACAGACTTGGAAATTGCTTTGGCTCAGTGCAACAGTCAGAAAGAGATAATACAAATAAAGAATAAAAAACACTTCTAAGGAATACATTTAAATTCAAAATAGAGTTACAGTTACTATTTACAATATCCAAGTGCACATGGTGCACACAATGTAAGGTGACAGCAGTACAGTGAAGTAAAGTGACGTATGATGGGCAGTAAAGTGACTTTATAAAGGGCGGGGGGACAGGTTAAGAAGTGTTCAAGAGTCCAACAGCAGAGGGGAAGAAACTGTTCTTGTGGCGGGAGGTTCTAGTCCTGATGGACCGCAGCCTCCTGCCTGAGGGGAGTGGTTGGAATAGTCCATGTGCAGGTGAGAGGGGAGTGGTTGGAATAGTCCATGTGCAGGTGAGAGGGGAGTGGTTGGAATAGTCCATGTGCAGGTGAGAGGGGAGTGGTTGGAATAGTCCATGTGCAGGGTGAGAGGGGAGTGGTTGGAATAGTCCATGTGCAGGTGAGAGGAGAGTGGTTGGAATAGTCCATGTGCAGGTGAGAGGGGAGTGGTTGGAATAGTCCATGTGCAGGGTGAGAGGGGAGTGGTTGGAATAGTCCATGTCCAGGGTGAGAGGGGAGTGGTTGGAATAGTCCATGTGCAGGTGAGAGGGGAGTGGTTGGAATAGTCCATGTGCAGGGTGAGAGGGGAGTGGTTGGAATAGTCCATGTGCAGGTGAGAGGGGAGTGGTTGGAATAGTCCATGTGCAGGTGAGAGGGGAGTGGTTGGAATAGTCCATGTGCAGGTGAGAGGGGAGTGGTTGGAATAGTCCATGTGCAGGTGAGAGGGGAGTGGTTGGAATAGTCCATGTGCAGGTGAGAGGGGAGTGGTTGGAATAGTCCATGTGCAGGGTGAGAGGGGAGTGGTTGGAATAGTCCATGTGCAGGTGAGAGGGGAGTGGTTGGAATAGTCCATGTGCAGGTGAGAGGGGAGTGGTTGGAATAGTCCATGTGCAGGTGAGAGGGGAGTGGTTGGAATAGTCCATGTGCAGGTGAGAGGGGTCGGCTGTGATACGACCAGCCCGGCCTCGAGCTCGGGCGACGTACAGGTCCTGCAGCGATGGAAGGCTGCGGCCGATCACTTCCTCTGCAGAGCGCACAATGCACTGTAGTCTCTGTTTGTCCCTGACTGTGGCTCCAGCGAACCACACGGTGACGGAGGAGGTGATGGAGGAGGTGATGGAGGAGGTGATGAGGAGGTGATGGAGGAGGTGACGGAGGAGGTGATGGAGGAGGTGATGGAGGAGGTGATGGAGGAGGTGATGGAGGAGGTGATGAGGAGGTGATGGAGGAGGTGATGAGGAGGTGAGGAGGTGATGGAGGAGGTGAGGAGGTGATGGAGGAGGTGATGAGGAGGTGATGGAGGAGGTGATGGAGGAGGTGATGGAGGAGGTGAGGGAGAGGAGGTGGAGGTGATGAGGAGGTGATGGAGGAGAGGAGTGATGGAGGAGGTGATGGGATGTGGAGGAGGTGATGGAGGAGGTGATGGAGGAGGTGATGGAGGAGGTGATGGAGGAGGTGAGGAGGAGGTGAGGGAGGGTGAGAGGAGGTGATGGAGGAGGTGAGTGGAGGAGGTGATGGAGGTGATGGAGGAGGTGGAGGGAGGTGTGAGATGGAGGAGGTGATGGAGGAGGTGAGGAGGAGGTGATGAGGAGGAGGTGATGGAGGAGGTGATGGAGGAGGAGGAGGTGGGAGGAGGTGATGGAGGAGGTGATGGAGGAGGTGATGGAGGAGGTGATGGGAGGAGGAGGAGGTGGTAGAGGAGGTGATGGAGGAGGTGATGGAGGAGGTGATGGAGGAGGTGATGGAGGAGGTGATGGAGGAGGTGATGGAGGAGGTGATGGAGGAGGTGATGGAGGAGGTGATGAGGAGGTGATGGAGGAGGTGATGGAGGAGGTGAGGAGGAGGTGATGGAGGAGGATGAGGAGTGATGGAGGAGGTGATGGAGGAGGTGGTAGAGGAGGTGATGGAGGAGGTGATGGAGGAGGTGATGGAGGAGGTGATGGAGGAGGTGATGGAGGAGGTGAGGGAGGAGGTGATGGAGGAGGTGATGGAGGAGGTGATGGAGGAGGTGATGGAGGAGGTGGTGGAGGAGGTGATGGAGGAGGTGATGGAGGAGGTGATGGAGGAGGTGGTGGAGGAGGTGATGGAGGAGGTGATGGAGGAGGTGATGGAGGAGGTGATGGAGGAGGTGATGGAGGAGGTGATGGAGGAGGTGATGGAGGAGGTGATGGAGGAGGTGATGGAGGAGGTGATGGAGGAGGTGATGGAGGAGGTGATGGAGGAGGTGATGGAGGAGGTGATGGAGGAGGTGAGGGAGGAGGTGATGGAGGAGGTGATGGAGGAGGTGATGAGGAGGTGATGGAGGAGGTGATGGAGGAGGTGATGGAGGGAGGAGGTGGAGGAGGTGATGGAGGAGGTGGTGGAGGAGGTGATGGAGGAGGTGATGGAGGAGGTGATGGAGGAGGTGATGGAGGAGGTGATGGAGGAGGTGATGGAGGAGGTGATGGAGGAGGTGATGGGAGGAGGTGATGGAGGAGGTGATGGAGGAGGTGATGGAGGATGGAGGAGGTGATGGAGGAGGTGATGGAGGAGGTGATGGAGGAGGTGATGGAGGAGGTGGTGGAGGAGGTGATGGAGGAGGTGATGGAGGAGGTGGTGATGGAGGTGATGGAGGAGGTGATGGTGGAGGTGATGGAGGAGGTGATGGTGGAGGTGATGTGGAGGTGATGGAGGAGGTGATGGTGGAGGTGATGGAGGAGGTGATGGAGGAGGAGGTGATGGACTCGATGATGGCCGTGTAGAACTGCAGCTTGGCTTTCCTGAGCTGCCGCAGGAAGTACATCCTCTGCTGGGCCTTCTTGATGAGGAGCTGATGGTCGGCTCCCACTTGAGGTCCTGGGTGATGGTGGTGCCCAGGAAACGGAAGGACTCCACAGAGGTGATGGGGGAGTCCATCACGGAGGGTGGGGGCGGGGGGACAGTGCTCTTCCTGAAGTCCACAATCATCTCCACTGTCTTCTGGGCGTTCAGCTCCAGGTTGTTACCACTGCACCAGGACACCAGCCGGTCCACCTCCCTCCTGTAGGAGACACCAGGACACCAGCCGGTCCACCTCCCTCCTGTAGGAGACACCAGGACACCAGCCGGTCCACCTCCCTCCTGTAGGAGACACCAGGACACCAGCCGGTCCACCTCCTCCTGTAGGAGACACCAGGACACCAGCCGGTCCACCTCCCTCCTGTAGGAGACACCAGGACACCAGCCGGTCCACCTCCCTCCTGTAGGAGACACCAGGACCAGGACCTCCTCCTGTAGGAGAACCAGGACACCAGCCGGTCAGCCGGTCCACCTCCCTCCTGTAGGAGACACACCAGGACACCAGCCGGTCCACCTCCCTCCTGTAGGAGACACCAGGACACCAGCCGGTCCACCTCCCTCCTGTAGGAGACACCAGGACACCAGCCGGTCCACCTCCCTCCTGTAGGAGACACCAGGACACCAGCCGGTCCACCTCCCTCCTGTAGGAGACACCAGGACACCAGTCGGTCCACCTCCCTCCTGTAGGAGACACCAGGACACCAGCCGGTCCACCTCCCTCCTGTAGGAGACACCAGGACACCAGCCGGTCCACCTCCCTCCTGTAGGAGACACCAGGACACCAGCCGGTCCACCTCCTCCTGTAGGAGACACCAGGACACCAGCCGGTCCACCTCCTCCTGTAGGAGACACCAGGACACCAGCCGGTCCACCTCCCTCCTGTAGGAGACACCAGGACACCAGCCGGTCCACCTCCCTCCTGTAGGAGACACCAGGACACCAGCCGGTCCACCTCCCTCCTGTAGGAGACACCAGGACACCAGCCGGTCCACCTCCCTCCTGTAGGAGACACCAGGACACCAGCCGGTCCACCTCCTCCTGTAGGAGACACCAGGACACCAGCCGGTCCACCTCCCTCCTGTAGGAGACACCAGGACACCAGCCGGTCCACCTCCCTCCTGTAGGAGACACCAGGACACCAGCCGGTCCACCTCCTCCTGTAGGAGACACCAGGACACCAGCCGGTCCACCTCCCTCCTGTAGGAGACACCAGGACACCAGCCGGTCCACCTCCCTCCTGTAGGAGACACCAGGACACCAGCCGGTCCACCTCCCTCCTGTAGGAGACACCAGGACACCAGCCGGTCCACCTCCCTCCTGTAGGAGACACCAGGACACCAGCCGGTCCACCTCCCTCCTGTAGGCGGACTCATCGTTGTTGGAGATGAGTCCAATGAGGGTGGTGTCGTCCGTGAACTTGATCAGCTTCACGGAGTCGTGGCTGGAGGTGCAGTGGTTGGTGTACAGGGAGAAGAGCAGGGGAGAAAGAACACAGCCCTGTGGGGCTCCTGTATTTATAATCCCAGAGTCCGAGACATTCTTCCCCAGACGCACTCGCTGCTTCCTGTCCGTCAGGAAGTCAGTGATCCACCTGCAGGTGGAATCGGGCACGTTGAGCTGGGAGAGCTTGTCCTGGAGCAGGGATGGCAGGATTGTGTTGAAGGCAGAGCTGAAGTCCACGAACAGGACCCTGGCGTAGGTCCCCGGGGAGTCCAGGTGCTGTAGGATGTGGTGGAGGGCCAGGTTAATGGCGTCGTCTACAGATCTGTTGGCTCTGTAGGCGAACTGCAGGGGGTCCAGGAGGGGGGAGGTGAGGGACTTGAGATGGGAGAGAACCAGGCGTTCAAATGACTTCATGACGACAGACGTAAGTGCTACAGGTCTACAACATGTATGGACATTTTCTTCTGTGTGTGCTTTATATTCTTCATGTGTTTTAACTGTTGATTCTCTGACCTGTGTTGGTGATTTCAATGGTTTTGTTAAGTCTCTGAGATGACTTCTGTTGTGACCTAGGGCTATACAAGAATACATTGGATTGTATTGTATTGTATTGTATGAAGGTGATGAAGGTGAAGGTGATGAAGGTGATGTCAGGATGAGGAAGGTGTGGGTCCAGTTTGATGACGAAGAGAGCCACTAATATGAACTTCTGCTTAAGCTTCAAGTGTGGCACCAGTATTCATAAACACAAAGACCATGGGGTTTAGGACCATAAACACAAAGACCATGGGGTTTAGGACCATAAACACAAAGACCATGGGGTTTAGGACCGTAAACACAAACACCATGTGGAGTTTAGGACCGTAAACACAAAGACCATGTGGGGTTTATGACCATAAACACAAACACCATGTGGAGTTTAGGACCATAAACACAAAGACCATAGGGTTTAGGACCATAAACACAAAGACCATGGGGTTTAGGACCATAAACACAAAGACCATGGGGTTTAGGACCATAAACACAAAGACCATGGGGTTTAGGACCATAAACACAAAGACCATGGGGTTTAGGACCATAAACACAAAGACCATGGGGTTTAGGACCATAAACACAAAGACCATGGGGTTTATGACCATAAACACAAAGACCATAGGGTTTAGGACCATAAACACAAAGACCATGGGGTTTATGACCATAAACACAAAGACCATGGGGTTTAGGACTATAAACACAAAGACCATAGGGTTTAGGACCATAAACACAAAGACCATAGGGTTTAGGACCATAAACACAAAGACCATAGGGTTTAGGACCATAAACACAAAGACCATGGGGTTTAGGACCATAAACACAAAGACCATGGGGTTTAGGACCATAAACACAAAGACCATGGGGTTTATGACCATAAAGACAAAGACCATGGGGTTTAGGACCATAAACACAAAGACCATAGGGTTTAGGACCATAAACACAAAGACCATAGGGTTTAGGACCATAAACACAAAGACCATAGGGTTTAGGACCATAAACACAAAGACCATGTGGAGTTTAGGACCGTAAACACAAAGACCATGGGGTTTAGGACCATAAACACAAAGACCATGGGGTGTTTCAGAACCAGAGCCGGCTGCTGGTTTTGTGTCAGACGGGACACGTGATGGAGGTGAAGGCTGCAGACCTGCATCTCTGTGACCACAGCCAGGAGACCTATGAGCTCAACTCCCTGAGAACCACAGCCTTCTGCTTCAAGAGCATCAAGTCACGCATCCAGGTTAGTATATAATATATAACATATAATATATAACACACGTCCAGGTGAGTGTGTTTAATATATAATATATAACACACATCCAGGTGAGTGTGTTTACTATATAATATATAACACACGTCCTCGAGAGTGTGTTTAATATATAATATATAACACACGTCCAGGTGAGTGTGTTTAATATATAATATATAACACACATCCAGGTGAGTCTGTTTAATATATAATATATAACACACGGTCCAACGTTAAAGGTGTTTGGGACAGCCTAAAGACCATCTCAGGGTTCAAACCAAAACCTGGGGGACGAACAATGGGTTAACGACTTGAACTCTTTTTACCTGCCGTACCACCTGGAGAAACCCGGGTCCACTGTGAGGATCCTCTTCTTCGATTTCTCCAGTGCCTTCAACACCATCCAGCCGCAGCTTCTCAGGGACAAGCTGGAGACAGCTGGAGTGGACTACGACCTGTCCCAGTGGATCCTGGACTACCTCACAGACAGACCCCAGTTTGTGAGAACCAGGGACTGCGTGTCTGAGGTCCTGACCTGCAGTGTGGGGGCCCCCCAGGGGACAGTCCTCGCACCGTTCCTCTTCACCCTCTACACTGCGGACTTCAGACACAACACGGACGGTTGTGTTCTACAGAAGTTCTCTGACGACTCTGCCATCATCGGACTCAGCTCCGAGGACGATGACACAGAGTACAGAGGAGTTCTACAGGACTTTGTGGACTGGTGTCAGCGGAACCACCTCCTCATCAACGTGAGGAAGACCAAGGAGATGAACCACCTCCTCATCAACGTGAGGAAGACCAAGGAGATGAACCACCTCCTCATCAACGCGGGGAAGACCAAGGAGATGAACCACCTCCTCATCAACGCGGGGAAGACCAAGGAGATGAACCACCTCCTCATCAACGCGGGGAAGACCAAGGAGATGAACCACCTCCTCATCAACGTGAGGAAGACCAAGGAGATGAACCACCTCCTCATCAACGTGAGGAAGACCAAGGAGATGAACCACCTCCTCATCAACGTGAGGAAGACCAAGGAGATGAACCACCTCCTCATCAACGTGAGGAAGACCAAGGAGATGAACCACCTCCTCATCAACGCGGGGAAGACCAAGGAGATGAACCACCTCCTCATCAACGCGGGGAAGACCAAGGAGATGAACCACCTCCTCATCAACGCGGGGAAGACCAAGGAGATGGTGGTGGATTTCCGCAGACGTCACTCTGCCGCTCCAGCTCCAGTGAACATCCAGGGAAAGGACATCGAGAGAGTGGACTCTTACAAGTACCTGGGTGTTCATCTGAACCACAAACTGAACTGGACTCATAACACAGACGCCCTCTTCAAGAAGGGCCAGAGCCGGCTCTACCTACTGAGGAGGCTTAGGTCTTTTGGAGTGCAGGGGCCACTCCTGAAGGACCTTCTATGACTCTGTGGTGGCATCAGCCTCTTGTACGGTGTGGTCTGCTGGAACAGCAGCATCACAGAGAGGGACAGGAAGAAGCTGGAACATCAGGAAGTCCAGCTCAGTCCTGGGCTGTTCCCTGGACACAGTGCAGCAGGTGGGGGACAGGAGGGTCCTGAGCAAACTAACATCTATGCTGGACCATGACTAATGAACACTGCCAACTTGATTCCAGTGTCATTCTTGCATCGTTGCCATATCCTTACCTTATACCAGAATGTGCAATACACAGCTGCCAATATACAGTTGTAAACATACTGCTGCTAATGTACAGATGTAAACAGACTACTGCTGCTAATGTACAGATGCTAACATATAACTACACTTTACTTGCACTAGATTACACAGTACTTTATACTTGCCTCTTATTTTGTCAATTTACATTTTTTACAGAGATTTTATACTTATTATTGATGCTAGAGTTAGATTATTTTTATTTTGTTTAGTATAGCTATTTTTCACTTAACGTGTGCTGTGTGCTCCTCTTTCCTACTGTCCTATAACCTGTGATCCAACATGTGATGGGACAAATAAATAATCTTAATATATAACACACATCCAGGTGAGTGTGTTTAAAATATAATATATAACACACATCCAGGTGAGTGTGTTTCATATATAATATATAACACACACATCTCCCCGTGTCTGTGTCGGTTTCCTCCGGGTACTCCGGTTTCCCCCTACCACTAAAGACATGTACAATAGGTCTGCGCCTCCTGCACTGGCCCCGCTCCCATCTCTGTGTGGAGTGAGAGGACAATTGCCCAAAAATAACAATTGTAAACCGCTTTTGTGACTCTGGTCTGTGAAAGGCAGTATATAAATAAAGATTACTTACATATAACACATAACATATAATTTATAATAATACAAAACTAGTTTGACTGACATCTGTCACACACTCTCCTCAGTTTATTCCGTTGTTGTATGTTTTCCAGAGAGAGGAGGAGAGAGTGCGCCTGCAGCAGCGGAAGGAGAAGAGAGAGAAGCAACCTCCTGAAGACTTGGACCAGGAGGAGCTGCACCAGGAGGAGCTGCACCAGGAGGAGCTGCCCCAGAGCCACCTACCAAGTCCCCCCAGCCCTCTCTGCTGCGGCTTCCACTCACACCCAGGACAATTCTGGCTCTCCATGGTGAGACTCACAGACTCTGAGACTAACCCTAATCCTGACTCTATGAGACTCTGTGAGACTCTATGAGACTCTGTGAGACTCTATGAGACTCTATGTGACTCTATGAGACTCTATGTGACTCTATGAGACTCAGACGACTCTATGAGACTCAGACTCTATGAGACTCTGTGAGACTCTATGAGACTCTATGTGACTCTATGAGACTCTATGTGACTCTATGAGACTCAAACGACTCTATGAGACTCAGACTCTATGAGACTCTGTGAGACTCTATGAGACTCAGACTCTATGAGACTCTATGAGACTCAGACTCTATGAGACTCTATGTGACTCTATGAGATTCAGACTCTATGAGACTCTATGAGACTCAGACTCTATGAGACTCTATGAGACTCTATGTGACTCTATGAGACTTAGACTCTATGTGACTCTATGAGACTCTATGTGACTCTATGTGACCCTATGAGACTCAGACTATCAGACTCTACGAGACTCAGACTATGAGACTCTATGAGACTCAGACTATTAGACTCTATGAGACTCAGACTATCAGACTCTATGAGACTCAGACTCTATGTGACTCTATGTGACTCTAGACTCAGACTATTAGACTCTATGAGACTCAGACTATCAGACTCTATGAGACTCTATGAGACTCTATGAGACTCTATGAGACTCTATGTGACTCTATGAGACTTAGACTCTATGTGACTCTATGAGACTCTATGTGACTCTATGTGACTCTATGAGACTCAGACTATCAGACTCTACGAGACTCTATGACTCTATGTGACTCTATAAGACTCAGACTATTGACCTCTATGAGACTCAGACTATCAGACTCTATGAGACTCTATGAGACTCTATGTGACTCTATAAGACTCAGACTATTAGACTCTATGAGACTCAGACTCTATGTGACTCTATGGGACTCTATGAGACTCTATGTGACTCTATGAGACTCTATGTGACTCTATGTGACTCTATGAGACTCTATGTGACTCTATGAGACTCAGACTCTATGAGACTCTATGAGACTCAGACTCTATGTGACTCTATGAGACTCAGACTCTATGTGACTCAGACTCTATGAGACTCTATGAGACTCAGACTCTATGTGACTCTATGAGACTATGTGACTCTATGCGACTCAGACTCTATGTGACTCTATGGGACTCAGACTATTAGACTCTATGTGACTATGACTCATAGTCACATAGAGTCACATAGAGTCTCATAGTATGAGACTCTATGTGACTCTATGAGACTATGAGACTCTATGAGACTCTTTGTGACTCTATGAGACTCTATGTGACTCTATGAGACTATGAGACTCTATGTGACTCTATGAGACTCTATGTGACTCTATGAGACTCAGACTATTAGACTCTATGAGACTCAGACTATTAGACTCTATGAGACTCAGACTATCAGACTCTATGAGACTCTATGAGACTCAGACTATTAGACTATATGAGACTCAGACTATCAGACTCTATGAGACTCTATGAGACTCAGACTATTAGACTCTATGTGACTCTATGAGACTCAGACTATTAGACCCTATGACACTCAGACTATGATACTCTATGAAACTCTATGAGACTCTATGAGACTCAGACTCTATGTGACTCTATGGGACTCTATGAGACTCTATGTGACTCTATGGGACTCTGTGAGACTCTATGGGACTCTATGTGACTCTATGAGACTCTATGAGGCTCTATGTGACTCTATGAGACGCAGACTCTATGAGACTCTGTGAGACTCTGTGAGACTCTATGAGACTCTATGTGACTCTAAGAGACTCAGACTCTATGAGACTCTATGACACTCAGACTCTATGTGACTCTATGTGACTCTATGAGACTCTATGTGACTCTATGTGACCCTATGAGACTCAGACTCTATGAGACCCTATGAGACTCAGACTCTATGAGACTCTATGAGACTCAGACTATGAGACTCTATGAGACTCAGACTATTAGACTCTATGAGACTCAGACTATCAGACTCTATGAGACTCGGACTATTAGACCCTATGACACTCAGACTAACAGACTCTATGAGACGCTATGAGACTCAGACTATTAGACTCTATGAAACTCAGACTCTATGTGACTCTATGGGACTCTATGAGACTCTATGGGACTCTATGAGACTATATGGGACTCTATGTGACTCTATGAGACTCTATGTGACTCTATGAGACTCAGACTCTATGAGACTCTATGAGACTCAGACTCTATGTGACTCTATGAGACTCAGACTCTATGAGACTTAGACTCTATGTGACTCTATGAGACTCTATGAGACTCTATGTGACTCTATGAGACTCTATGTGACTCTATGAGACTCAGACTCTATGTGACTCTATGGGACTCAGACTATTAGACTCTATGTGACTATGAGACTCTATGTGACTCTATGAGACTCTATGTGACTCTATGAGACTCTATGAGACTCTATGTGAGACTATGAGACTCTATGAGACTCTTTGTGACTCTATGAGACTCTATGTGACTCTATGAGACTATGAGACTCTATGTGACTCTATGAGACTATGAGACTCTATGTGACTCTATGAGACTCAGACTATTAGACTCTATGAGACTCAGACTATCAGACTCTATGTGACTCTATAAGACTCAGACTATTAGACTCTATGAGACTCAGACTATCAGACTCTATGAGACTCTATGAGACTCAGACTATTAGACTCTATGAGAGTCAGACTCTATGTGACTCTATGGGACTCTATGAGACTCTATGCGACTCTATGTGACTCTATGTGACTCTATGAGACTCTATGAGACTCTATGTGACTCTATGAGACTCAGACTCTATGAGACTCTGTGAGACTCTATGAGACTCTATGTGACTCTATGAGACTCTATGACACTCAGACTCTATGTGACTCTATGAGACTCTATGTGACTCAATGTGACTCTATGTGACCCTATGAGACTCAGACTATCAGACTCTATGAGACTCTATGAGACTCAGACTATGAGACTCTATGAGACTCAGACTATTAGACTCTATGAGACTCAGACTATCAGACTCTATGAGACTCAGACTATCAGACTCTATGAGACTCTATGAGACTCAGACTATTACACTCTATGAGACTCAGACTCTATGTGACTCTATGAGACTCAGACATTTAGACCCTATGACACTCAGACTAACAGACTCTATGAGACGCTATGAGACTCAGACTCTATGTGACTCAGACTCTATGAGACTCAGACTCTATGTGACTCTAGGAGACTCTATGTGACTATGAGACTTTATGTTACTCTATGAGACTCAGACTCTATGTGACTCTATGGGACTCAGACTATTAGACTCTATGTGACTATGAGACTCTATGAGACTCTATGTGACTCTATGAGACTCTTTGTGACTCTATGAGACTCTATGTGACTCTATGAGACTATGAGACTCTATGTGACTCTATGAGCCTCTATGTGACTCTATGGGACTCTATGAGACTCTATGTGACTCTACGGTACTCTATGAGACTATGGGACTCTATGTGACTCTATGTGACTCTATGAGACTCAGACTCTATGTGACTCTATGAGACTCAGACTCTATGTGACTCAGACTCTATGAGACTCTATGAGACTCAGACTCTATGTGCCTCTATGAGACTCTATGTGACTCTATGAGACTCTATGAGACTCTATGTGACTCTATGAGACTCTATGTGACTCTATTAGACTCAGACTCTATGTGACTCTATGGGACTCAGACTATTAGACTCTATGTGACTATGAGACTCTATGTGACTCTATGAGACTTTGAGACTCTATGAGACTCTTTGTGACTCTATGAGACTCAGACTCTATGAGACTCTGTGAGACTCTATGAGACTCTATGTGACTCTATGAGACTCAGACTCTATGAGACTCTATGACACTCAGACTCTATGTGACTCTATAAGACTCAGACTATTAGACTCTATGAGACTCAGACTATCAGACTCTATGAGACTCTATGAGACTCAGACTATTAGACTCTATGAGACTCAGACTCTATGTGACTCTATGAGACTCAGACTATTAGACCCTATGCCACTCAGACTCTCTGAGACTCTATGAGACTCAGACTATTAGACTCTATGAGAGTCAGACTCTATGTGACTCTATGTGCCTCTATGAGACTCTATGTGACTCTATGAGACTCAGACTCTATGTGACTCAGACTCTATGAGACTCTATGAGACTCAGACTCTATGTGCCTCTATGAGACTCTATGTGACTCTATGAGACTCTATGTGACTCTATGAGACTCTATGTGACTCTATTAGACTCAGACTCTATGTGACTCTATGGGACTCAGACTATTAGACTCTATGTGACTATGAGACTCTATGTGACTCTATGAGACTTTGAGACTCTATGAGACTCTTGTGACTCTATGAGACTCAGACTCTATGAGACTCTATGACACTCAGACTCTATGTGACTCTATGAGACTCTATGTGACTCTATGAGACTCAGACTCTATGTGACTCTATGGGACTCAGACTATTAGACTCTATGTGACTATGAGACTCTATGTGACTCTCTGTGACTCTATGAGACTATGAGACTCTATGTGACTCTATGAGACTCAGACTCTATGTGACTCTATGGGACTCAGACTATTAGACTCTATATGACTATGAGACTCTGTGAGACTCTATGAGACTCTATGAGACTCAGACTCTATGAGACTCTATGAGACTTAGACTCTATGTGACGCTATGAGACTTAGACTCTATGTGACTCTATGAGACTCTATGTGATTCTATGTGACTCTATGAGACTCAGACTATTAGACTCTATGAGACTCAGACTCTATGTGACTCTTTGTCACTCAATGTGAGTCTATGAGACTCTGTGAGACTCAGACTCTATGTGACAGACTCTATGTGACTCTATGAGACTCTATGTGACTCTATGAGTCTCTATGTGACTCTATGAGACTCTATGTGACTCTATGAGACT